TCAGCTGGGATAGACTCCAGCCCCCCACGACCCTAGTGAGGATTATAGATAATGGATGGATGGATGTGGTAAATGGTCTGCACCTATACAGCGCTTTTATCCAAAATGCTTTACAATGTGTTTCTCATTCACCCATTCACACACATTCATACACCAATGGTGACAGAGCTGCCTGCCATTGGGAGCAACTTCGGGTTCAGTGTCGTGCCCAAGGACACTTCGACCGTGGAGGGGCCGGGGATTGAACCGCCAACCTTGCAGTTAGAGGACAACCCACTCTACAACTGAGCCACAGTCGCCTAATTGTAATGTGGTGAAGCATAATACAGAAAATAGAGATACTCGAGTAAATTACAGTGTACTTAAATTCAACAACAAATTGCTCAACCCTCCCTTTTCAATGTACAAACACTTGTGTGAGTGATTAAATCTTGAGCAACGAGTACAAGACTGTTGCAAAATAACCAGCCTAATATCTGTGCTTTTGTGTAATGAAGCCGTTTGGCATCTTTAAACTTCAGCTTCAGGCCAAACCGTAACCTGCAGAGATAGCAGATGCTTTCCATCGACCTAAAAATGATTTAAAAACTGACTGTTTACACCCTAGAGTCAGTGTTCTTGATAACGTGGGTTCTGTGGTCTGATCTTTGGCACATTTCTTGGTGTGGACTTGGATAACCTGTGAACTGAATTCCTGAGGAGGGAAGTGAAAGACAATGCTCGGTATCAAACCGGTGGTTGGTGATTGGACGGTGTTGAGGATGAACATGATCTGATTTCTGAGGATTGGTTGGATGCGATTCGACTGATGTGGGGGTGAAGACGGAGAAACGTATAAAAAGCGAATTAATTTGAGTTTTTAAGGGTTTGGAAGCTTCTTCTTTGTGAAATCATCAGACTCCTGGAAGAAAGCATTTGCTTTGTCTGGACGTCCAGGTAACACATTTCACTTCTTTGTTGCAGCGGATTATCTCAGGACATGAACATCGTTGACTGCCTGAGCTCAGGTAGCTTCACAAGAACATGACATAACATTAATTTATGTCTATTTTCAGTCTAAGGAGGCAAATTGTAGCCACAGATCTTTTAATCTACTGAATCCACTTGTAAACCTGAACTTTCTTTTTCCTTCTACTAGTTTGTGGTTCAACAAAATTCAAGTAAGGTGAAAAAACATGAGGGTGCTAAAATTAAAGATTTGCTCTTTGACATGATTCTTCTTCTTGTAATCCAGTGCTCAGATTGATTCCACCCAAACTCGATTGTTTGTCCTGTTATTACGAGGAGCACCGCTTTCCCTCTGGTGAAATCAAAGAGAGCAACTCAAGGCCCATACAGATGCTTGAGCGATTTAAATAATCACAGCTGTCACCCACTTTCAGAGCATCTGCGCTGGACAAAACCTGACACATCATGTTTGTGAGCTTGCTTCTTCCTCGTACACAAGTGCTGATTCATATGATGTGAAACCATTCTGTGAAATGTGACAGATACGATCTCAAGGACGCAAGATGTTCTGCAGTGAATGTAGAGGAGAAACTCTTGTTTACTACTATGTGCATACAGTGTGTTAAGCTCTTTGTGATTCTTTGTCATCTTCCCACTATGAGGTGGTGAATGAGCGAGTTAAAGGCTGTCTATAGATGATGATTTTAAATAGATTTAATTTTTTAGATAAATTCTAGTTTTATCGATGTAGCGCCAGATCATTGCGTAAGTCATCTCAGGACACGTTGCGTAGTAAAGTTTAGACGTCACAGTATTGCACAACTCACAGCCGACTCCCTGAGCCAGGGAGGGATCCTGGCTTCTCCTATTAAAACATGAACTCCCCGAAGACATGATTTGTGAAATCTGTTTGGGAGGAGGGGTCTCCAGAACATTACATGCTGTTCTATCTCTGCATTTCTTCATTTTGAAGTAATATTGATGTATGATTCATGCAAGAGGGCGATCGATCACTGGCTCACTTCATACTGACGTGGGCTGTTTGTGCAATCACCATCAAACTTTTACTAAAAGATCAGGAAAAAAAAAAGAAAAACTTTCTTGAACCAACCTAAAACAAATTAAAATCTTCTGTGGGATGAAAGCTACTTTTCACCTTCATTCTCTTTCTTATTATTCATTTTTATTAAATAAAATAAAAGCTAAATCAGGAGCTTTCAATACACAGTCGTGACTC